AGGGTCTCCCTCTGTCACCCGGGCTGGAGTGCAGTGACGCGATCTTGGCTCACTGTACCTTCCACCTCCCGAGCTCAAGCGATCCTCCCACCTCAGTCTCTCAAGTAGCTGGGACCACAGGCGAGCACCACCACATTGAGCTAATTTTTGTATTTTTTGTAGAGACTGAGTTTCACCATGTTGCCCAGGCTGATCTTGAACTCTTGAGCTCAAGCAAACCGCCCGCCCCAGCCTCCCAAAGTGCTGGGATTACAGGCCCTCACGCAGTCCCATTTTGATGAATTCTTTTCTTGCCTTCAGACATATGTTCTCCTTTTCTGGGCTATTGCCATAGCTCATTCCAACTTCTCTTGGGGTTCTGACTGTCAAGTCTGTCTAGGGAGGACAGGAACCCTCTTTAGTTCTCCCTTAAATTCTGTGCCCAAGATGTTAAATATGCAGATAGGATGCATTCCATTCAGTTCAACAAATACTGAACACCTACTCTCTGCCAGTCACCACCCTGTCTTGAGGATTCAAAGATGAGTAAGCAAGGGTTTGGATTTCAAGGGCTTAGAGGGTGTGAAATTGACTGACTTACTGAGGATATACCTGGGAAGACATGACAGCATTGACAAAGAAAAGGCAGAGAGGGCTCCCAGGGCAAAATACTCTTGAGCCCAGCGTTGAAGGATGCATAAGTGGGAGAAGCAGCAGATGAAAATATCTGATATGGCGTGTGGGGGGTGGGGGACAGGAAGGCCATGGTAGAGATTAGGTGTTATTAGAGCATAAAGTGTATGAGTGGAGTAGATAGAGATGCAGGTAGAGCGGTAGGTAGGGGACAGGTTAAGTCTGTACGATCAAAGGCAGCTGAAAACAAAGAACAAAAACTATTCAGCCTAGCACAGACCAGCAGTGTGCTCGCCTGGAGGTTACCACAGCTGAGCTGAGGCTTCAGTCTTGCAGAGCCAATCAATCTTCCCCTTACATTCCCCTCTTCCTTCTGATGTCTTTTCCCCTCCAGGAGCCTTTGGTCAGCAAGATCAGGGGCTACTCTTTTTCCAGATGTGGGCATCATGTGTATTTATTCCTTTTGAAGTGTGCTGCAACACGTCAACTGCACCAGTGCCTTTCACAAAATGCTTGCAATGAGATGGAATAGGGGGAGTTCTGCCTTTTTAGGGAGAAATTAATTCATTTTCTGGTAAGAGAGTTGCCTGGAATTCTCTTCCCCATTACTCAAATACTCTTTTCTCCATCATTTCTTCTCATTTAAAAAAGTCTCTTCTGAAAACTATGGATCCCTACAGACAAATTTAGCACATCCAGCTGCAATTTGCTGTTTGAATATTACATATTTCAACATGCAGGGAATTGGAAGTTGGCAGGAACAATTTTAGAATGGACAGACTTTTAAGTGGGGGTGTTTAAGAATTTAGGGCAAGCCTATTTGCTTCAAGATAGCTCCCTATTTTGGTGCCGTTGGCAATTCTTTTAGTTCTTAAAGGTGTGTGATGCACTTATATATTAAAATGCAAGTGCTATAGATTGTGAGATACTTGAGGGTGGGATGACTTCATCTGGGCATGTGTAGCTAGCACACTGGCTTGCCTGTGGGGGCCTGTCAAATGTATACCAACAAAAAGAGCTAAATGGAAGGCCAACAAAGGAGGTCCCTCTCAGGAGGATTGCTGTAACTGCCCTATCAGCAGGCGCCTTTGTGAGCAGGACGCAGGAATAAGAGCAAGGTAGTGAGGCCAACGAAGGAGAGAAGTGAGGGCACGAAGGGTGTAGGAGGACCCCCAAAATAAACTTCTTCATGACTTTGCTTGCTCCTTCCTCTCTTCCTTTTTATATCGTCTATCCTCCCTGTACCCTTTACAAATAATGTTTCTTACCCGGGAATACTCCTCAGAATTACCTGGGAAGCCATCAGTGTCAAGCTTGCCACCCCACTCTCCTGTATTCCTGTACAGCTGAGTAGGGTTGGTGACAAGCCTTGGCCTTTTCTCTCCATGAGATGAGGAACCATTGCTATATGCCAAGTAATTCAAATCAAGTGCTGACTTCTTCAAAATGCCCACTACTTCCCTTCTCTCAGGCCTTTGCTTACACGGTTCCCTTTGGCTAGAGTACTCTTCTCTTCCTTTCTTTCTTTTTCTTTGAAGCTAAGCTAGAATGCCACATCTTCTATGGTGCACTTTCTTGCCTTTCTTGCACCCTTTTACTTATGCAGTATTTTATGCCTTTATCATTCATTTATTCATTCATAAATATTTGTTGAGTTTGTCTCAGATATGCCAGTTAAATGTTCCAGCCTTTGAGAAATTTTCAAGTCACTGGGAAATAATGGTGACAGGGCTGAATGGCTGAGAGAGGCATATAAAGGACGACAATACAGTGTCATACATGGAAATAAAAGGAAAGCGACTGGGCCTGGCAATGGTAGCTGCTTAATCAATGAAGTTGAATAAATGAGCTTATTCTGAAGTTGAGTAAGCCTTTGTCATGCTTTTGGTTTCTTATCTCCCCCTGAGCACTATATTAGTCCATTCTTGCACTGCTGTAAAGAAATATCTGAGACTGGGTAATTTATAAAGAAAAGAGGTTTAATTGGCCCACTGTTCGGCAAGCTCAACAGGAAGCATGGCTGTGGAGGCCTCAGGAAACTTACATTCATGGGGGAAGGGAAAGCAGGCTCCTCTTAGATGGCTGGAGGAGGAGGAAGAGAGAGAATGGAAGGTACTGAACACTTTTAAATAAGCAGATCTCTTGAGATCTCACTCACTACCATGAGAACAGCAATGGGGAATTCCGTTCTCATGATCCAGTTATCTACCACCAAGCCCCTCTTCCAACATTGGGGATTACAGCTCGGCATGAGATTTGGGTGGGGACACAAATCCAAACCATCTCTCTGCCAAGTCTGGGGCATCATCCTTCTGATGAGGCCCACCCACCTCCTGCAGATAGAGCCTCTTTGCTAACCAGGGCATAGTCACGTGATCTAGACATTGCCGATGAGCCTCACATGACTCAAATGAGCAATGTGGGGGAAAAGGCTCTTTCCACAATTAATTTTACTTCCCTGGGGTACTGTTGGGGTGTCTGACCTTTAGGAACAACCTCCTGAACAGGATTGAGTTCTTGAGGCAGAAGTACTGCTGGGGTCAGTGGTAGTAGGGGTAGCAGTTAGTTTTCTGGTCAGGCCAGCTTCTGATAGCTTAGCTTCCAGATTGGTTTTCCAAAGTGTTCAACAAATGAGACACACACACGCATGCACGCACACAGGCACGCATGCACGCACGCTTTGCTTAATCAGTTAAAGCTAGCATCTATTTCTTGCAACAAGAAATCTCGATTGATACAGGCACTCACTCTTCCCAGGTAGGAGCAGCTAACTTGGTTTGCTTCTCTGTGATTTCAGCCTAGTCTCTTCTCCCATTCGTTTATGAGCATTGCGTTGTGGAGGTGTGATGAGCTCCTGCCTCACAGCCTCACAGAGTAACTTGGAAAGAGTAGGATTTTACGAAATTCAATTGTATTGTGGCATTGTGGTAAAACCACAGATACAGACACATGAATCTGTCAGAAGACACATTCCAACCAAGTCAGTACAGATTGTGAAAAAGAGAATCTACATATTTTTATGACTACAGATGCAGGCAGTTTGGGAAAAAACTATCGGTCACATGTTGATCCTTTAAACCACTTAAATACACACAATAATCACCTTGAATGGTGCTTCTTTGGACATACAATCAAAAAGGAGAAAATTTCAGCAGAACATTGCATGGTATATGTAAATACTATCTTTAAAACAGTACTTGCTAATTCATGTTT